TCTGTACCCGAACCGTTTGACATAAAGACCGCAACAAGAACGGCACTCGCATTAAATCTACTACATTTCGTAGGCAAACTTATTTATTTTCTCATGAAGCCTAACACAAGAAATCAAACCAACTTTAGGCATTCTGAGTTTGTGCTTTGAAGAAAAATAGGCAAGCCGCGCAACATGGTAATTAACAGAAAAAAATATATATATTAAAATACATATACATACACTACCTTTCAAACATTTGTGGTCGGTAAGATTACCACAAAATAAAATAAATAAGATTAGAAGTAAAATAGTAATATTGTGAAATGTTATTACAGCTTAAAAGAACTTTTCTATTTTGATATTTTTTTAAATCGAATTTATTGCTGCGATCAAACTGAATTTTCAGCATCATTACTCCAGTCTTCAGTGTAACATGATCCTTCAAATATCATTCTAATATGCTGACTTGCTGCTCAAGATTTCTTATTACATTTACTACATTTCTTATTATAAGTGTTAAAAACAGATTTACTGCTTAATATTTTTTGTAGACGCTGTTACATTTTCTTTAGGATTTTTTGAGGAATAGAAAGTTTAAAAGAACAGCATTTATTTGAAATAAAATCGTATGTCTTCACTGTCACTTCTGATAAATTTAATGTGTCCCTGCTGAATAAAACTATAAATTTTTTCAAAAAGAAAGAAATATATATATATATAGAGAGAGAGAGAGAGAGAGAAAATATGTTTTACTGGAATTTCTGCTTTTTCTCAGACCACATTCAAGGAAAAGACAAAAACATTATCTCATGCTTTCCAAGATGTCTCAAGACATCTGTGAGAAACAAACGACCGTCCTGGATGCCTGTCAAGATCATTAGTACCTGCTCTTTGTCCTGCAATAGAAAGTTCACAAGTGGGTTTGTAAGACAGCCATAGTCTGACCCAGCAGGGGAGAAAACACCATCCCAAATACCATTCTATGTGCATGGTCTCTGATAAGAGCATCATGTCGATGTCTCATCCTCTCAGATACGCAGCACTTCTGGGACTGATCTTAAGGTTACCCAAGCCTGTAATATCCAAGCAACATGCCGACCTACATGAGCTAATAAAAATGTCATCTTGAACTCTTTGTATAATTAATGCTCTACCTCATCTCCATTGTTCTCCTCTGTGAATCAACAACAGATTTATCAGTGATCAGGCCTCTATGGCTCAGAGCTTGTCCTTGGTTAGACTGCATATTTTCAGATGGGTTATGTCAACATTAGTGACCTATAAAAAGCTGCATTCTAAAATGCTGCTGTTGTCTGCCATTCATTTATGCTTTACCATGGATTCACGCACTTGTTTTGTCTTTTGTGTGGCAATAATGTCTTTACGCTCAGCTTCAGGTGCTTTTCAAAAGCGTTTCCTCTCGCAGGCTGTAAAAGGACATCATTGCCAATAACTTTATCCACACTTCCTTTGTCTTCGAGTGAGGCCTGTCTGCGTGGCCATCTGTGCAGTTTTAGGTTGTTTTAATCTATTTATTTATTAATTTTATACCGTTGGATAAAGTATAAAATAGTAATGATCTTATAAAGTAGACAAATGAGCATCTGGCTTAAGGCTGCAGTGGTAGATGAATATGATGGAGTAATTCTTCATCATTTACTCACCCTCAAGTTGTTGGTAACCAAACAGTTGACATTAGCCATTGACGTCCATAGTATGGAAATAGAAAAATATAATGGAAGTCAATGGCTACCATCAACTATTTGCTTACCAGCATTCTTCAAAATATCTTCTTTTGTGTCCAACAGCTGAAAGAAATTCATACAGGTTTGGAACAACTTGAGGATAAGTAAATGATGACCAAATGTAAATTTTTGGCTAAACTATCCCTTTAAATACCATGTCTATTAAGCCAGATGCTCATTTATCTACCTTTTAAGATCATTACTATTTTATGCTTTATCCAATGATGTATAATTAAAAAAATAAATGGATTAAAACAGGCTAAATTTAAGCTAATATTAAGTAGCATACATTTTAGACACAATATTGTCGAAATCCAGTTCCAAAAGAGTTACAAACAGAATCACAACATAACATAGTGGCGCTTCGTTCTTGAATAATTCAGCATTTTTTAACGAATCGAGTCAGTGATTTGGTGACCTATTCCTTTAGTTTCATATGTAAAGTAAAATTACAATTTTTCCAGCATTTCATTTTTCTGCACTGTAAAAATTATACCCAGTGTGCATTCAACACGTTTTGTATTTAAACATTTTTTTTTAATAACATTATATATGCAGTTGTTAACATCTAAATGCCACTTCATAAGCAGCTTCTATACCACCTCTGCAGTGCAACGATGCATTTCGCTGATTTCATTTGATTGGTAACAGCTCTATAATATCTTATTCTCATTGCATTGAAAAAATCAAAAACATTTAATGAAAGGGGACACAGGTTAGAAAGTTGCCTTTATGAAGGTACAAAAATTGCCTCTGGAAATCGATTTAAATTTCACCCATTAATGCAACCGTTCTGGAAAAGTTTCTGTCACTGCTTATAGGTTTGAGATTATTTTTCAGTTTTTATCCTGCAAAGTGTCTTCCATTTTGCTTTTATAGAAATGGCCACCCTACCTAAAATAAAGAAACATGTTTGCCATTATAAAGCTCAGTGATTATTGTTTGCAACTTTTTCTGTATCTCTCTGTGCATGGGTCAGAAATGTGTAGCCGTTCCAACAGATAAGTCAGTGTCACAAGGTCAAGAAGAGTTTTACTGGATGGCTTGCAAACAAGATTATGAAATGTGTTGTTGTATTTTTGGGGCAGAAGATGACACTGAGATTCCAAGGAACGTTCGGAAGCAACTATGTAGTCGTTGCTGTAGGCACCCTAGCAACCGCATAGCAGCATGCTAGAATCCAGTCAGACCATGACGATTCAGCATGTCACACATTCACGATGACTTGTTGCGTTTCTAAAACAGGTCGAATGGAATGACAAGTATGCAATTGACTTCATGTTCTTAAATATTTCATCCTCTCTTTGCTCATTTTTGGACAGACAGTGTGAATTTTCATATCTTGTTCCTGTTTATTGGTGCATATCAGAGTTTGACACGGACATAATGGGAACGCTGACCCCAGCAGCGCTGCGGATACATCTGTTAATGGCTGGCTGTCTCCGTTTTGTGATTAATAGCCTCAGTGGTATGTTGATGACAAACAAAAACAGGAACTGTAAACTTTTATCTCTTGCTCTCTTCTCCGATTCCCGTTGAGGAGTTTTTCTGTATAATTTATGTCGCCATTACATACTTGCCATTCTCAGGGCTTTTTTTGCATCACCATGCTAGAGACAGATATGCAAATGAATAACACCCGCTGATAGCATTGTTTATTTGCATGCGTTCTTGGTGTTGTTTTAGCACCAGATCCACTGATGGAATTACGTAAAAGAATGGAAACAATCCCAGATTTTTCCAGATCCCAGTTTGAACACACTGATAACGACCAGAGGCTTGTACATGATCTTGTTTAGTTTACAGCTTCTTGCCAAATAAGTTAATAAAATCATGAACATGCATTGCTTTTATTATTTTACGTGTAGATAAACTTAAAAATCCTCCTAAAAAAAACAGTCCTTTATAGCAGTAGCCCAAGAAACAAGATGAAGAGTGCAGCAATATTCACTGAACAAAATTATAAACGCAACACTTTTGTTTTTGCCCCCATTTTTCATGAGCTGAACTCAAAGATCTAAGACTTTTTCTATGTACACACAAGGCCTATTTCTCTCAAATATTGTTCACAAATCTGTCTAAATCTGTGTTAGTGAGCACTTCTCCTTTGCCGAGATAATCCATCCACCTCACAGGTATGGCATATCAAGATGCTGATTAGACAGCATGATTATTGCACAGGTGTGCCTTAGGCTGGCCACTCTAAAATGTGCAGTTTTACTGTATTGGGGGGTCCGGGGGGGTCCGAAAACCAGTCAGTATCTGGTGTGACCACCATTTGCCTCATGCAGTGCAACACATCTCCTTCGCATAGAGTTGATCATGTTGTTGATTGTGGCCTGTGGAATGTTGGTCCACTCCTCTTCAGTGGCTGTGCGAAGTTGCTGGATATTGGCAGGAACTGGAACACGCTGTCGTATACGCCAGTGTATTATTATTATTATTATTAACTTACAACCTTTTTAATGGACTAGTTTGCTAACTTGTTTGGAAGGAACATCTGTGCTATGATGGTACATCTATTTTATTAAAAAAATTCCCCGCTCTATTTTTCCTCAAAGTTCTCTCTCATCCAGCTTTTTGGTTTATACTTACTATAAAATGAATCCTGAATTTAGTTTTTACTTGCTATTAATACTTAATTTAGTTTACTAAATTAAGCAGTAACAATCAAGGTCTGTTCATTCTTTATGTAACACTTTGTTTTATACTCACTATAAAAAAAATAAACGTGAGCTAAACTGTTAGTTCTCTCTCGTCCAGCTTTTTGTTTTAAACTCACAATAAAGTTCATCTTGAATTTTATTTATTACATTTGTTTTTGGCTTTTGCTTGTCCTCAATATGAGTAATTTATCATTTCATTAAATTAGTATTTTTATTTAAACAGCAAAAAAACAACAACATTTTTTTAAGTGATAATCTGTTAGTTCTCTCTCGTTTTTGTTTAATACTCACAATAAAATTAAGCTTGAATTTTGTTTAGTAACAATTAGTGGCTTTTGCTGGTCCCCAGTGGGTCTCGATTATTATTTCATAAAATTTGCACTTTTATTACATTTTAAATAATAAAAACAAGTGGTAATAATCAAGATCTAAGATAGTCTGAATGATAATATGATGTTTTTGATATATCGCAATATATTGCATGTATGTATCAGTATAAGTATTGTACTGTGAGGTAGCAGACAGTGCCCAGGTAATAATCTTTGAAGTGTTAGAAGTGGTTTAAAAAAAATCATTCATGTGTTTGTGGTGTTTTTATATGTTCCAGGAATCCAAAATGTTCTTAGTCTCTTCTGTGCGGTTCTGACAGAGCACAAGGTTTTGTTCCACTCTTCCAGCTATCAGAGACTAGGAGAGGCCTGCCGTGCCTTAGAGTCCCTCATGTTTCCTCTTAAGTACAGGTGGGTCAACAACATTGACTGTTACTGATATACCCAGAATAATTGACCTTCAGTTGCCTTGATAACACCATCTTATTTCATTAGCTACATTATTAGCAAATCTAGTTCAAAGTGCGTTGCATAAAAACTAGGACAACTGCTATATCAAATCATGCCCGTCAAAAAAAGCTTGAATTAACGTGTCCTCTTCAGAAATGATAAGCATGTAATTTTGCAAATCGCTCTATTTTTAGTGTCTTTTGCAACAGTATGTACTATTTTTGTGCTCGGTATGTAATAAGAAAAGTCTCGAGATTGCTCGACGTGATGATTGTGGTTGCCTAACTCTCATCTGGACCACAGCTACCCCTACATTCCCATCCTCCCATCTCGACTGCTGGAGGTGTTGAGCTCGCCTACGCCCTTTATCATCGGAGTGCACTCCATGTTCCAGAGTGAGATCCAAGAGCTGGTGAGCTCAAGGCCTTACAGAAAAACATTTTTCAGTCTGCCTTGGTGGTCAGATTCTGGTAACGATGCTCCGTGACTCATTCAGTAATTTCTGATCAGGTTTTGGTTTCTGTTTACAGCTCGATGTGGTCATTGCTGACCTTGACGGAGGAACAATTAAAATACCGGAGTGTATACACCTCTCCCAGCTCCCCGAACCCCTGTTGCACAATACTCAAAAAGCACTGTCCATGGTAAAAAATACACTTTGTACACACACATTATGGTGTAATGTAATTTGTTTACTGTGCAGCTTGGGTTGCATTTAAGTAGACATAGCATGCATATGGTTTTTTATTATTATTGTAAACATTTGTATGTTTAAAAAAATATATATATTATATATATATATATATATATATATATATATATATATAGAAACCCTTAACCCCGAATATAAAAGCTTCACCTGTCCTACACCACTGTGCTTTGGACCAGTGTTATTCTTAAAGACGTTGAGGATGGAGCTTTTACTTTTTTAAGATCATACAATATAAGTCTTACGTATTGTTGCTGTCCAATGAAAAACACTAATTTCTGCTTTTGGTAATGTTGACTTTTACCATAGACAGAATGCACTCTCTTTCTACTGTTTGAATTGTGAAATTCCATTAAAAGGGATTTATAATCAGGTTTTCTGTATAACTATTATCTTGGTTGGCCTTGAAAAGTGAATGTCTAAACTAGGGTTGTGCCGATAGATGATAGTAACCTGTATCGATGATAGTCAGAGGCTTTCAGATTAGTCATTGCTGAAACACCGGAGTTTTGTTGAGTGCACACGCTTGCTGACTGAATTCTGCTCTTGTGTATTCTCTAATCATAAACAACAAAGTCCAGATGTACAGTACGTGTGACGCAAGTATAAGAGATTTATTCATCATACAGTGTAGACCGCTTCACTGATTATAACGGGAGTGTTATTTAAAAGTGCATAAGCTCGCTCTAGATTGATGTCAGTGATGTTCTTTGATAATGTAAATGCTCGTTTTCTGTAGCTGCTGTTTGAATAACTGAGGAAATGTTAGCATAATTTAATAACTTGCAATGTTTTTTATTAAATTGTTATAGTTAAATACAAATTCAGTCATATTAAAAATATTTTATGACATGATTTCCATATGCTACTTGACAAAATATATAATGTGTAGAAAATAGACCAACATTAGGCTGCTTTAAGCCTTATCCTGGAGTTGGTTCACTCTCCAGCAGCTCCAACTAAGTAAGTAAATAATTAAATAAATTAGCATGATAATATTGTGTATTGGCGATCTCACAGGCTGATTATGGAGCATATCGCCCAACACCTGTCTAAATTGTGCATGTTCTGGTTTTCTTAGCTGTCTGTAGTTCAGGGGTCTCCAACCTTATTTCATTCAAGAGCTACCTTTTGAAAAATAAAAGTGACTGAGAGCTGCCTGTGTTATACAATACTTAAATCTCTTAAATAATGTATCAGTCCAAACTGTTATACACTGTATTATTAAAATGTGCTGGAAATGTTCAAAAATGACTGATACACACAATGAAATCATTTCACGTTTTGTCGAAAACCAACAATTAAAATTAGCAGCACTAAGCACTTTTTGTCTGCATGAACATTGAAATAAAAACATTAAAAACAATGGCCAGATTTTAACCTAACAAAAAATATTCGTAACATGCTATCTACTGACATGTACTACATGTTCAAATAAAGTTTTGGCCAAAATATTTTTTATAAAATGAAACCCCACATTTCAGCTTTTTTTTTTCTTTTCTTTTCTTTTATGGAAAGGATGAGTCAGAATGTTAAATTAGATTTTATCTGCTCCATAAACTGTTCTACATAAGTTAATATGCATTCTAAAAATCTCAACACTTCGGATGACAAGGTAGCCTATGTTCCATCGACCAGTTAATTTTTACAACAAAAATTTGGTTTGATTTTTGCATTGGTTTGAACAAAAACAGCAGACAGGCTGAATGAAAATGCAACTCTACTGTCTGACAGCAGGTGGCGCTTAAGGAAAAGCAGAAATAGCTGTTTCCCAGTAACCGCTGTAAACAAAGCAGCGCTGCACTTATAAACACTGCTCTATTAGACATTACACAGTGGGAAAATGAAAAGTAAATGCCATTGAAACTTTTCTGAAGACAGTCAATTCCCTATTATGTATTCATAGAGTTCATTAAATCACTTCATATAATTTCTCTCAGCAGTCTGCCTTCAGTCGTGTTTTCACACAAAACGAAACCTACTCTGTGTAAGACTCAATTTTGCTCAACGCTTAGCAGTATTAACCATGAGTTTTTCAAATCACGATAATCAAATACGGGTTTAATAATAATTAAAATACTAAACGGGATACCTAAAATAACCTCATGGCTGATATGTCAAAATAAATAATTAATTTGCATTGGAGGTGGTGGGACATCTTTCTATACTAGCTCACTCTGATTGGATGAAAAGTATGTCTTGGCGAGCTACCTCCAATCAGGTCACAAGCTACTGGCAGCTCGTGAGCAACAAGTTGGAGACCCCTGCTGTAGTTTATGCACTGCACCCAGAAAACACATCTCAAACTGATTTTGAGCTAAAATAGTAAGTGAAAGCTCAGATTGTATTGAAAAATAAACTTTCAAACAATCAGTAATTAACAGAAAAAATAGTAATGCGCCATTCTAACCCAAATTTACAGTCGAATTAAAAAGTCTAACAGATGTGTAACGATAAAATTCTACTTATGGTGCCAAAAGCGACTAATTATATTGTTTTTGTTAATTTGGTAAGGTTGTTTATGAGGGGGAAAAATACTTTTCCATGCTCTTGAGGAATTTTTTTTGGAGATATGTGTTTTTCTTCTGTCACCAATGATGTGAAGATAAGATATGACTCGAGCCAGATCATACATACTTGAGCTCTTTAGATTTGGGCCAATAAGCAACCACCTACAAACCATCCTGAACTCTAACAAGCACATAGCAAAGCCCTGGTAACCAACCACAACACCTTAATACCAAGGTGGCCAGGTTCGCAGAGAATTCACCATTCCATTTTATTGAAAATTACTAGCTATTTCCATTTGCTTCCACTAGTGTTGCAGAAAAACGTAATACTTCAAATTTCATAAACGTTCTTCTTCAGTAGCTAATCTGTACTTTCAAAATATACATAGCCTCTTGTGGTGTTTTTTTACACAGGTTTGAAAGATGAATCTGACTGGATACATTCCATAAGCTATATTTGCACCATTTGTCTTGTTCCCTCAGATAGCGGGATATTTCCTCACTGTAAATACCTTCTTTGTCTGCAGGTTTTGCACCCAGATCTGGAAGGAGCAGATAATGCCTTCCCACCCCCTCGTTCTGCTCCATCCAACCTCAAACTGCTGGTAAGAGCCTGGTTTGTCTATTTTCGCTTTTACAATCTCGCAAAGTTACATATGAATTTTGCAAAATGTGTGGCTGGCATTCATGTGGCCAATATGGGAGTCTCTTATTGGGCCTTCAGGGGGCTGAAATATCTATTCATTAAAGGAGTTTGAACTCCCATCCCAGTTGGTGGCGCTATAACTTTAACTCATCATAGTTACATCTATGTGATCAGCCTCATACAACGAACAAACTGCTGAAGTTTCATCAAAATCAGTCAATGTATGCTGAAGTTATAACACACTTCCCGTTTGTCATTTTTCACCATAAATTCATCACCTCACCACGGCCAGACCATTCGAAATATTAAAAATCCCTTCGCAATTTTGCATCCTCAGTGTCTTGAGATCATGTCGACCAAGTTTTTCAAACAATCCACTAGGGGTGGCCCCGTCTAAGGATTTTCATAGTCGAATAGGAATTTTCTAATCTTGCCAATATTCAACTGATAGTCGAATCATATGTTTGGGGGCGGGGCAAAAGACATTACCAAGAGTCAAGTCAGACATTCGACAGTCATAATTACTTGATAATGCCTCATTTGCGTATTGTAACATAAAATTTAATAAAACTTATAATACAAAACAATTGTCTTAATGTACTGTGATTAATCGACTGGGGAAGTGTATTATTATTATTATAAATTTTTAATTTTTTTACCCTATTCACAAGTAGTGTTTTGATTGATTTAACAGAGTCTAGACCAGTTTTGAGAACCTGATCTACTGATCTACTAAAATATCAAAACAATGATTTGTTTATGAATATCCAAAAACCGTTCACAGTTTAGGTTCCTCAGTGTTTTGGCATCATGTTGACAAAGTTTGGTGTAAATCATATGACAGCAATTGGAGGAGTATATAGAAAAATTATTTTAAAGTTTGAAGCGTTACCATGGCATTCCCAACACTTCATTTAAGATATCAAGAATCCCTAACCCAGTTTTGATATTATTCTGATGAAATATGAAGCAAATCGAGTAAAAATAAGAGCGCGATTTCAAATTTGTAAAATGTCACACTTCCTGCTGCCAGTTGGTGGCGCTATAACTTTAACTCATCATAGTTACATCTATGTGATCAGCCTCATACAACGAACAAACTGCTGAAGTTTCATCAAAATCAGTCAATGTATGCTGAAGTTATAACACACTTCCCGTTTGTCATTTTTCACCATAAATTCATCACCTCACCACGGCCAAACCATTCGAAATATTAAAAATCCCTTCGCAATTTTGCATCCTCAGTGTCTTGAGATCATGTCGACCAAGTTTTTCAAACAATCCACTAGGGGTGGCCCCGTCTAAGGATTTTCATAGTCGAATAGGAATTTTCTAATCTTGCCAATATTCAACTGATAGTCGAATCATATGTTTGGGGGCGGGGCAAAAGACATTACCAAGAGTCAAGTCAGACATTCGACAGTCATAATTACGTTAACACACAGGGAAAATGTGTTACGGACGCCTCGCAGATACAAAAGGGGGAAAAATGTTTTATGTTGTGATTAAAAGATAATTAACATTAAACGTAAGCTAAACACTAAGAATTCACAACATTTTTTACAATAGTGCTCTCATTATAACGTTATGTATATGACAGTAGTTATTAATGTTCTGCATTTCTGTTTTGAGCTGCGCGCGCTGAAGATAACCAGTAGAATGAAGCATTTGATGGCAGGTTTTTAATCAATGGGATTTAACTCATCATTTATCTCATATAGAATACGCTTCGTTATTTATACAACATAACGTTAATATTACGACTTATAGGCTATCTGCACAAAATGCCCCGAATGCATGAATGAACTCCTTTTGTGGATGCGTTCTTCAAGCAACAACGTGCAGAAACACAGCAACTAAACTCAAAAAATTCACAGCGTTTTATTATAATAGTGTTCTCATTATAATTATGTATGACAGACCCAGTCATAGTTATTCATATTCTGCATTGTTGTTTGTCCTGCTCGCGCTGGCGCAGAAGAGATAATCACCGTAGTACTACAATGAAGCACTTTATTGCAGCGCAACTCAACCAAATGCATCCTATACGAGATAAATAATATATACACGATATATATAAACCGGCTGAAATGTTTTGAAATCACTTGTACCCTACCTGATGGAAAAAAATCCAGTCTTTCACTCTTCCTGTGTCAATTTGAGTCTTGTTAAAGTTTTAAATCCCTGCCGCCTAGATGCTCCTCTGTCGGTGACGGATTATGGAAAGTGAAACTTAAATCTAGGGGTGGTTGGATTTATTCACGCACGTTAAAATATTTATTTGAAGCTTCTTTCTTTTCAGATTCTTATTTACAGCATTATTTTAATAGGCTGTATATTAACTTATTGGGAGAAAACCAGTAGTTCTATGTGAAATCAGACATTTGAGCCACCCCCCATATAGCCAAAATGGCATTATCATAACACCCCGCGAATATTCGACTGTGAGATTGGTAGTCGAATCAGGCTCCTCCTATCGAAGCATTGAATCTTCGACTATTTGGGGTCACCCCTACAATCCACAATAGCTGACTTCCTGTTGGGTGGAGCACTGACTGTCAGCACTAAAGTCATTCGGGCTGATGAGATCTATATGTGTATGAATTTTGGTGACTGTAGGTGAAACGGTATGTGCTACAGAGCTTGTTGAAAATGGCCTTATAAAAGGGCCGGTGACCACCCCATGCGACCTTCTGCATGGCCCTGATTGCCGCAGATTCCAACGTGTGCCAATTTTCAGGAACTTTTGAGCATGTTAAGGGCCCCAAAAAGCCACGAATATTAAAAAAAAATAAAAATGGCAAAATCCTTAGAAAAACAATAGGGCCCTTCGCCCTTTATGGGCTTGGGCCCGAATAACACACCTGATGTGTATTGTTTGTTCATTTTGTTGAATTATAGTTAAAGAATTATATACATTGCCATCTTGCTCTGAGTGATTTGAACACACCTGGCATCATAGATTATGACTACCAAACTTGTAAATATGACGAGTTTAGTAGTTTGTACAAACAATTCTGATTGGTTTGAAATACAGCATTGTTTACCTTAACGTTACCTTAACTCAAGGCAGCATGCACTTGTACAAACACCTCTCATAAACACAGTGGGTTTGGGTCTCAGCCAGAGAATGAAAGAATAATCTCAATGAACTCGCTAGATAAGCACTGAGCTTTGCCTCGTCCACGCTTTGCTTTGAAGTGCCTGGGTGCAAACGTAAGCACTCATGCCGATGGTATCGCAGTTAGTTTGTTTAAAACACTTTGGTCCGTCGGATTGTCCTTGCAATGAGCCATATGAAAAGTATCAAACTTGTATTCGCAAGTGTTATTCCACCCCCCAACCTGTTTTTGTTTGTGTCGGCCGATGTCTCTGTGACAACGTCTCAATACGACCCTCATAAAGCACCCCACATGGCTCAGATTATGGTACAAGAATGCTTCACATCTCGAAACTGAGCAACTTCATAATTTGCTGGCTAATGCTGCAGGGCATCTGTTTAAAATATACGTATGCCCATCTCATTTGATGTATCTGGTGATGCAGATAACGGACGTCTGACTTTGTTTCTTCTGGAAGTTGTTTTGTTTAGAAAAATCTCTGCAACATTTGAATTAAACTTGGCTGCTGGGTTTGAAGTGGAAGTTTAGCAGATGCCATGATTTTTGTTTGATCGTTGACCTTCTTTTCCCTGATAGGCTGCCTTCCTGGGCCAGCGGGGCCTGATAGAAAATGACTTCCTGACCAAGGTGTTGGATGGCATGGCCTTTGCGGGATTCGTGTCTGAACGGGGACCTCCATACAGAGCCTGTGATCTGTTCGATGAGGTGCAGTACATCTTTATCAGAGCCCACTAAGTGACAGGGGTGTAGAATTAATAGATAATTAATGGGCACTCTCCAAATGCGAGGGCTGTTTGTGAAAGTAAGAAACATGATAAAGGTGCCTTTTAAGTTTAATTCAGCCATTTACAGTGAAAAAAGCAATTCCAGAATGCAATGCGAGAAAAGTCTGTACAAGATGGTGGAGAAAGCAGGAAAAAAACATCAAAACTGAAAAATTATTCCAAACTACAAGCAGTGACAGAAATTAACTTATCAATTAAGGTACAATATTTGGCCCCTTAAATTGATTTCCAAATTAAATTGATATTTTGCCTATTAACTTTTCTAACCCGTTTAAATGTATGATGCTATACATTTAAATTAGTATACGTTCATCTCTCCTTTTCCGTGTGCATATCCACGCTATCCAAAGTGAAGAAGAATCGTGACAATGACAAGAAAGGTAGCCATTTTTGCTTATGTCCCAGCGTTTTAGCTCATCATTCTTCCAAAAAGAGCAAGTCCTGTTCACATATAAGCACAACCCTTATAAAAAAGAAATGGAATGCTACATAAGACTACTTATTACAGATATAGTATACCTTAAAAGAATATACTAATGTGCAAAATGAATGTAATGTTTGTTAATTGTATGCTAATTGCATTTAAATGAAAATGTATTATAGTTTAAATTTATATGAAATTAGTTGAACAGAGTATTTTTTGACCCACTAAGGAGGTCTTAGATACTACTTTATATGTAATTTCACAAATATATTGTCTTTGAAATATGATTAAAGTGTACTGCTGAATGTACTGACATACATTTATGCAGTGCTGGATAGATTAATTGTAGTCCATTATTGATTCCAAATTACAAAACAAAAAATTGTAGTTCGTAACATAATCCATTACATTACACTTTTTAGGTAATATAATTGTTAAATGATTTTATGAGATTGTTTACAATATTGAATATAGAAACATTAAATGCTTTAAATATGAAACTTAAAAAGCCAGTAAGTGCTGGCAAGTCATTATCTTAATTAGTGAATCATTGATTCGTTCATTCAGCCGTTTCGTTCAAAACGGCTTATTCATTCAGGAATGAAGCAAGTGACTGTCTTTATGAATGGATTACTGAATCATAGACTTAATTCATTCAAAAACACTGAATCGTTCAGGAACAAAAAAAACACAGTGTTGACTCTGTTTAGAGCTATTATCGTTGGTGGAATAAGGGGTGGGCGATGTTCCCTAAATATCATATCACGATCTTACACAAAATCACGATCGACGATCTTTCCAATTTTTAGATGTACTATTGAGAATATCCAAAGTGGAATAAGCCTATGACTTAAACAACCAAAATTGACATTAAAACCTGAGTTAAACTTTAAAACAATGCATCACTGTATGAATCAAATATACATTGATTCTTATTAAAGTTATACATTTAAGAGCAGTGAGTGATTTTCTCTCTTTTGTTGTTTGATTAACATTAATGACACAGACAGCAGTAGGTTTATTAGGCTGCTGTCTCTTTAAGAATGCACGGATCTAATACACTGACACACATCCGATTTCTTTCCCAATTGTTTATGTTTGCTTAAGACAAAGCTGACTGTCTTTATGCCAAGACAGACATTTTGACATGTTATTGTGTATATTTGACCATTTGACTCCACGTATACTTTGCTTGTTCGGTTTAGCTCCACCTCAGAAGGCGCCTGGGGAACAGTCTCTCTCGCAGTTAATGCGCTTTTAATAGTTCTCTTTTTAAATTAAAGCATGTCCCATTGACATTAAAACCTGAGTTAAACTTTAAAACAATGCATCACTGTATGAATCAAATATACATTGATTCTTATTAAAGTTATACATTTAAGAGCAGTGAGTGATTTTCTCTCTTTTGTTGTTTGATTAACATTAATGACACAGACAGCAGTAGGTTTATTAGGCTGCTGTCTCTTTAAGAATGCACGGATCTAATACACTTGACACACATCCGATTTCTTTCCCAATTGTTTATGTTTGCTTAAGACATAACTGACTGTCTTTATGCCAAGACAGACATTTTGACATGTTATTGTGTATATTTGACCATTTGACTCCACGTATACTTTGCTTGTTCGGTTTAGCTCCACCTCAGAAGGCGCCTGGGGAACAGTCTCTCTCGCAGTTAATGCTCTTTTAATAGTTCTCTTTTTAAATTAAAGCATGTCCCACAATAGACTGCATTTTACGACAGTCACATTGCATGATTGGACTGATTTGGACTTTAAGTTTAGGAGAGGCGAAAGCACAATGCTTGAAATGATTGGAACAGCTTGCGGCACAAATCGAAACTTTGATTCATCGCAGTACTACTGCTAGCTCGCGTTGAGTTTTTTATTTATTTATTTATTTATTTTTTTTTTTAAGTACGTCACCATGCATGAAAGACACATGATAGAGATGCCTAGTATAATTTGACCAGCCACAGTCATCTAATGGGCAGTTATTGCTGTAGTCTTAACATTATTATGAGGACATACAAGATCACGATCTCTATGGTTCACTTGAAAAGTACATCGTAGATGTCTTCAAGATTGATCACGATATAAAATTGCCAGATCACCCACCCCTAGGTGAAACAGAACAAAACTTCAATATTGTGTATAAAATGTATTTCACTAAATAGTGCATGAGTAAGCAAAGTGAGATGCACCAAAAATCCTTAGAGATTCATGTCTCCTCTGATATGATTCATTTCCTCCTCTGATATGATTCATTTCAGTTAGGATGCTGCCTATGTAGGCAGTAGACAGCAAGCAAACTTGCTAGGTGTTAAAACAGAGCCCATTTTTAATGGATGCATTCGTGTCTTCAGAATATTTTTGAAAATAAGGATGAATTGTACCAAAAAATTCTGATGGAATCTGAATGAAATTTGTGACCGTTTCGTCATGTACTGTATGGCACGATTCAGTAAACAACTGTAATAAGATCGAATCATTGTTAGAGCAAATATTTACTCTCCTACTAGATAACATCATTCCACAAGAAGAAGATGATACATGCATGACTCAGTGTAGCTGAGTGAAATTGCAGCTATTGTTCTGGGTAGTGTTAAGGTGGAAAAACTGATTTTTTGTGCTCACTGTAACCACAGATTCATGGGTTCGTACATTAAACTGCTCTGTTTCTGTTTTGTAGCTGGTGGCCTTAGATGTAGACTGCTTTAAGGAGGAAGAAGAGAACCTGGTCAAGTTCCAGAAGCGCTTGAGAGACCTGTCCGAGCAGCTTTACAAAAACGTAAGCACATGACGCCATCTCTAATATCAGTTCCTTCAGGTGCTTGAACTTCAGTGGCTGCTGTTTGATGCATGTGTTCTCTGACCTTCTGTTTTTGCCAAGACTTCTCCCTTGTCACATTTGATGGATTTTATTAAGAGCTAAGGCTTCTTTAAAGGTGAACTCTGCAATTTTTTTCCTTATTAAAAAGTTTTACACTTAAAGACTGAATAGTACTTTTGAGGAATATTTTGTGAATGATGTACACTCACGTGAGAGCGGGTCACCTTTTGGGGGCGACCGTGTTGAGATCACATGACCTATCAAATACTGCTCAGTTTATTCCGGGTGTTGTAAATTTTCACTCGCAGTATACAACAGCATGAATGACTGCGAAAAGCACATTTTCACAGTGGAGGTTGTAGTACTCACAGAGTTATGCTCTTGATGAGTGATGGTGAACTTTTTCCAGATTTCACAAGCTCCAGAAACGCTGGAGTTTAGACAGTTGTTTTGTCTTGCGTTCTGTAGGAGAGCCCGAACCCCCACATGGCCTTCCAGAAAGTGCCTCGGCCCACTGAGGGCTCACACCTGCGGGTGCATGTGGTACCCTTTTCCTTGTTGGAGGAGGACAGGGTGGAGGAGTTGATACAGGCGGGCCTGGCCAAGCAGCACGCCGCCCCTATCAGTACCCGTCCAGAGAGGAAGTGTGTGGTGCCCGCCGGACCCCCTGTGGGTGAGTGAAAATAATATTATTGCACAACTATATAGACTATTATTTATACTTACACTATTTTTACACTACTGGTCAAAAGTGTGCAATGATTAAGATTAGTTTTTGTTTTTGAAAGAAGCCTCTTACCTTATAAGATGCTTATAAATAGCATTTATTTGATAAAAAATACAGAAAAACTGTAATTTTTTGTGAAATATTATTACAAATTAAACTTTTCTGTTTTAATATATTAAAAATCTGAATCTGTCTAATATGCCAATTTGGTGCTCAGTTATTATCAATTATTGGTGCTGAGTAGTTAATAATGGTTCTTATTGTTCTTTTTCCTGTTTAATATTTTTGTGATACATTTTTAAGGATTTTTTTATTAATAGAATGTTCGAAAGAACAGCATTTATTTGAAATTTATTTGAAATAATAATGCATTCCTGCTAAATAAAAGTATTAATTTCTTTTTAAAAGTTATTTTAAGTTGTAATAATATTTCACAGTATTACTGTTTTTACAGTTTTGTTTTTTTTAACCGATAAATGCAGACTTTCAAAAACAGTTTTTCCAAACTTTTGACTGGCAGTGTGTTGGCAATGCTAAATGCTAAGGATTTTAATTGATTAAATTTATAATTTTTTTTAAACATATAAACATTTTAATTATCATAATGTCACTTAACAAATGACTTTAATCTTATGAAAATCAATAAATAAGTTGTTATAATTATTACCAAATAACAACATGTAAAGAAAATTCACTTATTGACGGTAACATTGATTAAGTTTAATTTAGGTTAATAAAATACGGGTTTTTAACTTACATTGATGTTTTTTTTGTTACACTTTTGACCTGTTATAATAGCAATAAGCCACTTGAGATGGTGTGTAACACTGATTTTTATCACAGTTAAGGGGTTTACAGTATAAACACTCCTCTTTGTGTTGTGCGTAATAATACCGCTTAACTATGGTTAAGTCACTGTAATGCATTGTTACCGGTTGTTGTCTTTTATACAGTGTCTATCATGGGCAAACCCAGCTCGGTTTTTAACAGCGCTCGTAGACTGGAGGTGGTCCGGACGTGCATCGGTTTCATCTTCGACAACAAGACTCTGGAGACAGAGAAGGTGATGCAATCATCTCTGTGATGACAGAAGGATTAAACCCACACATTCACTTGCACATCTGGAAAAAGACAGCATGCAGATTAGCATGCATTAGTGATGGCATTCGCAGCACGATAAAGCAAAGCTCTCCAGCTGCAAGTCGTACAAACGTAGGAGGAAAGGGGTGAACAAACAGTCACGCATATTCTTCTAATTTCCCTGCCCTTATCACTAATACTAATATTATTCTAACATTAACCATGTCTGGTGTTTGTCTAAAGCATCTTAAAAAAAATTAGGCTAAATAACTTTGTGCAAATTACCTGTAGCAAAGGAAATCTGCTCACAGAGGATGTTTGGAGCCTGCCATCATTTGTGTGTTTGCATTGGAATGGTAGCCAGCTACCTGCACACATTTGAGTTTAAATTGTAGGTTATACAATGCAAGCTTGCATCCCTATACAGTTGTAAAAATGTTGTGCTTGCAGCTTAATAGCTTTTCCGAGCCAGTAAAGACATCACCTCCACACAACCTCTACTCCATCGGCCTGAGTAAACCTGGGCGGAGGGTGCCGCCTCCGTCTAGACATAAAATCTCATCAATAACAACCGTTCTGGAATTTTAACTGTGGGTCAGAGGTCAACTGGCTGGATTTAGCTGGAGTGATTGTGCCCTTTGCATGCATGTACACAAGCGAACCGCTTCTGCATCCAGATGAGGGCAGCCCAGTCTGGCTTAGGTGGATGTGAACACTTGTTTTAGTAATGTCTTGACACTGCTGTTTCTTTCAGGCACTCCCTGCGGCTCTTCGGGCCCTGAAAGGCAAAGCAGCACGCCAGTGCCTGACCGAAGAGCTCAGCCACCGTGTGCAGCAGAACCGTGCTATTCTGGACCACCAGCAGTTTGATCATATCGTTCGCATGATGAACTGCGCTCTACAGGTGGGCATCAGTATTACCAGAATTTATTACCACAGTGATATACAGTATATATATATATATAAGTATCGTATATTTGCAAAATACTGATTATTTTCAAACTGTAGTATTTAGGAGAAAACACTGTATCATCATAAAAAAATGCACAATTAAAATTTTAATTACATAAAAATACTGATTACACTTAAATGTATTTCAAATAAATTTTTGTTTTAATTTGAATTTTTTTTTATTATTTAAAAATATTTAGATGCATTTTATATATATATATATATATATATATATATATATACACACACACACACACACATATTTATTTGTTGTTTATGCACAGGAAACATTTTAGTGCTTTAAACATACTAAAAGAGTTGCAGTTTAACATGTCGAGCACTGTATAGTTATTGTGCAGGTTAGTGGGGGATGAAGAAGGTTTTTTCTTTGTGTCGTGGAAAGAGTCTCTTAAATGTATATTAAGGGGAAACCACAAATTGCCATTTAGGGAAAATCTGCCGCTCTTTGTTCTCCCTTTAAAATACTGCCGATGGGACGTCCTGATAGGATCTGTGACGTAAAGTAGGTTATTAATTACATGCAAAGCTTGGAGTCTTTTTAGAAAGGTAAAAGCAGATTTAGTGTTGAACAAACATCTAGTCTAGTGTGTCCTGTAAGAGGGACGTTTGATGCATATTAAGTTGTTTAGGTTTTGCGTAACTGTGTCTGTCTTGTCATAGCACTTCATGACTTATTTTGTGTTAGTCCATCACATTCCTTTACAAACGGTCATATTGCTATTAATCTCAGAGCAGAGTAGTGTCCCATTGGTAGTTCCTTGTGTTTTACAACTTCACGTTGGTGTGGTTGGGGGGATTTTAATGATGCTGTGCAGTTTAAACAGCTAGCAACTTTTATAGAGTCACTGGACATTCCGAACATACTTTTGTCAAAATAGTACAGACCAGCTTGGGCCGTGGATGTCAACATGCCCTGCTCGGCTGCAGAGGCTCTTTAAAGAAAAATCTACATTTAATGCAGATGAAATGGTTTCGTATAGTTGTGTCATCTGATAGCTTAGCTGTATGCAGGTCTGTAATGTATTGTTTTCCATTGGGAGATGAGAGACATATGTGGAGCAGCTTTCAAAAGATGAAATGCACGTGCTATCAGTTATCAGAGTCTGTAATCAAGATGAGAGACAGAAACAAGCCCCAACAAGAGTGATTTCATCTAGATCTCCAGAGACAAGGACAAAGATTTTTTGACACAGAAAGTTAACAAAATGACATGGAACAGGGATGAAGATAACAAGCTATATGAAGAGCATATGGAGAGTCCACTTGTCTGAAAGTCATTATTTTTTTTAAACCTAACAGAAAAAAATGAGCTCTGACCTAAATATACCAATAGCAATAAATACAGTTGTTGCATCTTTCCCAAAAAGACTCATGGCTGTATTAGATCAAAAGGGTGCTTCTACTAAATACTGAGCAAAGGGTCTGAATACTTAGGACCATGTGATATTTCAGTTTTTCTTTTTTAATAAATCTGCAAAAATGTCAACAATTCTGTGTTTTTCTGTCAATATGGGGTGCTGTGTTTACATTAATGAGGAAAAAAATAAACTTAAATGATTTTAGCAAATGGCTGCAATATAACAAAGAGTTAAACATTTAAGGGGGTCTGAATACTTTCCGTACCCCCTGTATATATATTAAAACTGTGTTTTTTTTACAGCTTTTGTCAAAGACAAAAAAGGGTTTAATCATAAAAACAATAAGTGTAATTCTGCTTTAAATTGTTGTTGTTGTTCCCAAAAAAAATATAAAAGTTTTCTGTTTAATTTAATTGCAATTTTGTTTTTGTTTTTCAGAGCAAAAAATAAATACCATACATTTTTCCCTGATTTACAGAAGAGACCCACTAAAATGTCATTCAGTGTAACATTCCTGTCAGGCATATTTACAACAAAAATCCATTTATGACATATTAAAAGACTAATTACTTTCACCCCAAATACTAATTAGTTGTAATTTAAATTTTTTTTTAATTTGCCACTATCCTAGGTTTTGCCCATTTGTCAGTAAGAATTTTTACTCATTTAAAACACAATCAAATGTAATATGCTCCCTTATTCTTTTATATATTTTAATAATTACAAATCAGAATAAGCATGTTATATATTGTGTTACACTGAATGACAATGTAACATTATTTCAACTAAATTTTAACATTTTATTCTCCAAAAACTTATTTGAAACCTTATAAGTAGACACTTTACTTATATTTAATATGCTTTCTATGGACATAAAATCACTTTTGTAAATTTCTTTTGATGTGGCCATCTCAACGTCTTACATAATTATAATTTTTTTATTGAAAGTACACAGGAAATAACAACTTTACAAAAAAATAAAAAATAAATGTGGGGGGATTTTCCCCCCCTACCTTGTTACACATGGTGTTCCCAGTAATAAATGACTGGCCTACAAAAACTTGCTTATAAATGTCTTGTTATACTATGTTATTACCAAATATTGGATGCAATTTTTTTTATCAACTTGTTTTCTTTCAGCTCAGGTTATCATGATTTTTGCATTTCTTTCTGAAACTGATTGATCATAGGTCTCATTGATCTGAGCTTATGCACCTCAGTCTTTGGGTAAACATTGCCAGAATTATCAAAAAAAATAATGCTTAATATAATTTCACTCGAAAAATAAGGTGTATACACTCAGGTCATTGAGGCCTATGACCAAAGGGTTACAAAAAGTAATACAAAACTAATTGAAAGAAAACCAGTTTTCAAAAAGATTAGAACCAAGATTTGGAGATAATATAACATATTGAGAGATTTACAAACCATTTTTAAAAGGCCAGTCATGTTTGATTGGGAACACCAAATTAGGTTAAAGATTTTCAGCACTGAACAAGGTCTAAAAGGATAGCAGAGACCACAACCATAACTATCACGGCACAGAGGAACGACGTTGTGGGAATCACTGCTAATTAAAACGACAGTCGAAATCCATCCTGCTTTAAAGAGCTTGAGCATTTAAAGCGGCAGTGACATAACTGTGGCGTGCGCTTATAATAAAGAGAATGTTATCATAGTTATAGTTCTTGGTGTGAACGTGCCTTTACAACATGACGTCACTCAGCTTTCTATACAGTTTTTAGAAGGAATATTCTCCTCTTCATTGGATGTAACAGAGATCATCATATCAGAATGACACTGTTACTACCGTACCTGTCGGAAACTTTTTTTATGTTTTATGTAGGACATAGGACATGTGGCTGCAGAGCTGTACTTCTTCATCTTCACTGATGAGCTCACATACATTTTAGGTTCCTGATAGGTATGCGCTGTTTTCAAAGAACAAAATTCCAATTACAGAGCAAATAATGTGAGTTTATAGCTTAAATATTTGATCATCGTTCTCACGAGTTCAGGGAAAGCATCGCAAGAATTTGTTAATCATTTTCATGTGGTAATGTAGCTCTGCTTGTATTGTGCAAAGGCAACAAGCGTTATAAAAGCTCTTCACATTTTCGGGATAGTTTGTCATGACTTGATCTCATGTGTGGCGCCGAGGTCAATGGATTTGTCTCAGATGAGCTGTAAGACCAACAAAAATAGCAGATTGCCTGGACACCCTAATTGCTTTCATATTATTTTGCGGGTGCTCTCATCGCCTTCAATGAAGAGCTACGACAGACAGCAGAGACGCCAGTGATTATTCGAGTTATGTTTTTTGTTATTACAGTACATCTGCACTAAGAATAGCTGGAGATACAGTTGCACAGACACACGGACATTTTAACATATCTGTTTTTGATTTCGTTTTTTCTTTTGTTGCTGTATTAGATTTTTATGTAAACTACGAGTGATGCAACAAACTAGAATTAACTAGAACTAAATGTTCTACACTGCAAAGTGAACGCAGCAATAATAAAGCTGTCTAGTCGTTCACCACATTACGTAACCTAGTTTAATCTAGTTGTCATGCCACGTTACTTTCTGATATGGTGTAAAATGTATATTTAATTACTTTTAATCAGGGCTATTATTGTCCCTGGCCTTGTGACAAGGGGGTTTCACCAAGGTCCTCCTTTCTTACAATTTCTATGTAAACTGCGAGTGGTAAGGGGTTCAGGGAAAAGTTTATAGAAAAAAAGTGTAAAAAATGTAACAAATAAATAATAGAAATATGATAAAAAAAAATAAATAAACAATTTGATTAAAATAGATGAAAATTTGATTAAAAAAATTGTTTGATTAAAAGACTTATATGAGTAAATAAATACATAAATATCATCCAGTACAATACTATAATAAGTAGAAAAATAATGTAACTTAATATTAATATTAGTTCATAAATATTTTCCAAATTAAATTTTAGACATATTTATATCAACTTTCCACAGTATTAATTGAGTGTGTATACAACTATATGGATACCAGACAACCCTGCATTTATTTGGAGATAAATTATCTACAAATAAATGGAGATTTATAATGATTTTTTAATGATTTTTACTTTGTTTGGTCTTCGAAAAGAGGACACAACTAGAAATCAGTGGTTAAGTTGTATTTATAACACTGTTCCAGAACAGTTCAACCCAAATATTCAGATGTGTGCAGCACATTTTATGGAGGACTGCTTCCTGATGGATAGCTGGCCAATCAGAGCACACCTTGCTTTTCAGACCGATGAGCTTTGTAAAAATCGACGCGTTTCAGAAAGGCAGGCCATAGAGGAGAAACAATAATGTACAGTATGTGGAAAATAATGTGTTTTTTTTTTTTTACCTTAAACCGCATAAACACATTTCATTACACCAAATACACAAAATAATGTTCTTATTACATTAGCAGCAAGCGTCATAGGAATATATCACACGCTTGTGACATCCGTTCATTGCTTTTGTTAAAAAAAAGGTTGATGACATTTACTATTTTTTCCCAAGTGTTTGTTATAATATGTAGACAATATAATTGTCTTCCA